ATCATATTTTTTTTTTATTCTTATTCTTTTATGAAGTTAGTTAAAAATTAATGAACAAGAAATTAAAGAGACTGCGCTGCAATTAAGTTAGAATATTCTAACTGAAAAACAATTACTGTGAAACTATTTACATTCTCATAGAATTATAAATATTTCTCAAGGAATATTTTACAGCACAACTTTTTTTTTTCATACAGAAGAATTCATTTCAAAGCAATTGACATTGAGACGTTTTCACATGCATTTCTAATCTCTGTATGCATGACTATCACTGGTCACAGTCACCCCCCTTCTGAGCTCCTCGGCATTGAGCATGTATACAAACTCGTCAGATAGACAGACTTCCTCTCCCACTAGAGGCTCCATACTCTGCCATCTCTGTCACTGTCCACTGGCTAACAATTTTTTTAAAAATATTTTTTATTTTATGTATATGAGTGTATTGCCTGCATGTATGTGAGTACACTTGTGTCGTGCATTGCCGAGGAGGTCAGAAGAGGGCTTTGGATTACCCTGGAACTCGAGTTAAGAACGGTTCGTAGCTGCCATGTGGGTGCTGGGAATCGAACCCTGGACCTCTGCAAGAGCAGTCAGTGCTCTTAACCGCTGAGCCGTCTCTCCAGCCCCATTTTTTTTTTAATGTGTATTCGTGTATTGCCTCCATGTAGGTAAGTACACTGTGTCGTGCAATGCCTATGGAGGTCAGAAGAGGCCGTCAGATCCCCTGGAACTGAAGTTACAGGCAATTGTTAGCTGCCATGAGGGTACTGTGATTTGAACCCGGGTCTTCTGCAAGAACAGCCAGTGTTCTTAACCACTGAGCCATCTCTCTAGCCCCCAATTTTTTTTTTTTTTTTTTTTTACATAAGCACAGCAGTTAGGAAATGGGCAGAGAGCAAGCTGTGGTGGTGTATGCCTCATTTCCAGCACTCAGGAGGCAGGGGCAGGTGGATCTCTCTGAATTTGAGACCTGTCTGGTCTACATAGAGAGTTCTAGGGCAGCCAAGACTTCATAGTGAGATCTCTCTCTCTCTCTCTCTCTCTCTCTCTCTCTCTCTCTCTCACACACACACACACACACACACACAAAGAAAATGAACTGAGAAGTGAAAGTGATTGGAAGGGTCTGGTCACCAATGTACTATGTATGGTCCTGAGATTCTATAGTAGTAATGCTTTCAATTGTGAATGAGTTAATTTATTGAGTGTATAACAAGCAGGAGTAAAAGAATGCATAGCAGGGAGGTTTCTCCTCTCTTGCACTGTTTCTTGCTATATAGCCTTCAGCTGTACACATGTACTCATGGATAGATACTGTATATATATTTTTCAGTGGGATTTTGAACTATTGCATTTCCCTCTGGTTTTTCATACTGCCTACTGTGCATTATTTATCTCTGGTCTCTCCTTGTCTAACCCATGATGTTTTTGAATTTTTTTTTTCTGGCTGGTATGGAGTTCACTGTATACTAAGGCTGACCTCACACTGACGGAGGGCCAACTGCCTTTGCGTGTGCTGCTCAGTCTGGGATTAAAGGTGTGTACCACCAGGCCTGGCTGAACACAATTTTTTTTTTTTTTGAACACTATTAGTTTATTTTAAGAAGGTGTTTGTATAAGCTAGGCATAGTGGTGCACACCTATAATCCCAGCACTGTGAAGACAGAGGTGGGTGGCTCACTGCAAATTCCAGTCTAGCCTGAAAATCAAATTCCTAATTGCTGTCTAGGCTTAGACAAATCTTCTCTTCATCAAGTTATAAAAAAGCTCTCTCTCTACAGTATATAAGACATATATGGGGCAACAGAGTAATAAGTATTCTGTAGATTGCACCAAGTACCAGGGGCAAATCATAAAATTTGAATGTTAGAATTTATTCCATCTTCATGATTACAGACATAGGACAGTGTAGACAAAAATAAATATGCACCTTTTCCCATTTAATCAGATGTATTTTGTCTTTTTTAATGTTACGCAGATTGATTTAATTTATTAGCTTGAGTTGAAAGTTAGCAACAGCAAATCTGTAATTTAAAAGGTGGTTCTTCCATCGCCACCATGAGCTATGCAGTGAACACTGAAGTAGTTTCCTGTCAGTTCTCCAAGTTTTCACATTAATCTGATCTTGTTAAGGCAGAGCTGATAAAAGCTGTTTTCGTCTTTCCTAACCCAGCAAAGCAGTTTGCTAACCCATGCCACAGTAATAACTGCTACTATATAAAATGCAATCATATTCTCAAGCATTGATTGAAACTGTTGTGTCTGGATCCCTTTTCAGAGCATTAGCTCCCTGAGAGGAAAAAGAGGTCCTAACCAACGGCTTTCATGAACAGCGACCCCTGTATAGTATACCTAATATCCTTTTCAGCAGAAATCATGTCAGTCTACCCTAATCATCTTGACCAGTTTATCATTATTTGCATCTAAGAATAGTTAAAGTTGATTCCAGATCATGTATTGCCACATAGCCCCAAGAAACTGTTCAATTTTAGTGCACTGAGTTACTGAAAGATGCCAGGGCAAGTGAGTATCATCTCAAATCAAGAGTGATAGTTCATCTTCTGGAAGTGAGAGGACATGAAGAAGAAAAAAGTTCTTTCCTCCTAAACGCATCAAACCCCTCAGCCATCTTCATAGTCTTAGTTGATAAAATCTGGAGTCCTTTGTTTCCTGATGCGACGAATCTATTTCCACAGGGCAGGAAAGTCAGGAAGAATTTCCAGGCTTTTCTTTGCTGTGGCCCACGAATTCCAGTCCTTCAATAGGAATCTCTTTCTCCTTTATTGCTTTCTGGATGCACTGCTGGTAGCACTTGAAGATGTCGGTGCACGGTCCCCCGGAGCTATCTCCCCTTTGAGGAACTTCTCAGCAAACCAGTGGTTAAAGCACTTACTGGTAGTATTCGCAATTCATATCAAGCCTCATCGCTGTTCATGGCAGTGGCGGCTCTGAACACAGTGTTTTTAACCTTTGCTGCTTGCTGTTTTTCTTTCTCCTTGTTAGATTGAAGAGGCCTGCCCACCCCTAAGCTGGGAGTTTTGGAGATGAGGGAGGGCATTCTTGCTCCGACTCTTTTTTTTTTTTTTTTTTTTTTTTTTGGTCTTTTTGAGATGGTCTCCTTGTAGCCTCAGCTGTCCTAGAATTCACTATGTAGACCAGGCTGGCCTCGAATTCACAAAGATCCGCCTGCCTCTGCCTCCCAAGTGCTGGGGAGTAAAGGGACTAAAGGTGTGCACTACCACGCCCGGCTCCGACTCTGCTTTTAACATGCTTAAACAGCACCTGACAGTTTACAGATATGAAGTACTTATACCTTGTGCCCTTGATAATTTGCTGTGCCTGTTCTCTCAGTTTTAGAACTGCTGTATTCACTGCAGTGGTGTGAAGAACTTGACAATCAACCTGCTTCTCTAACTGGATTTTGTGAAATGCTTCAGAAAATGAATATTACATATGACAGCTTATCAGTACTTGATAATACTTCTGGCCTTTTGGAACTATTATTTAACAGGTAAGAATCCCTTTTAAAATGATTATTTTGCTTGTTTAAAGCTTTGCTGTCTTATAAGATATAAGCCCAATGTTGTTGTTTTGATCAAGAGCATGGATCTAAATCTTACTTTATGGATATTAAATATTTGATTTAATCTTCTGGGCTAGATATTTGGGTTTGCCTCTCCATACTTTCAGGTGCAAAAAAAAAGGAAACTGATGACTCTAGATACTATTTTGTTTTATGTGACCCATCCTTCTGCTACTCCAAATTCAACCTGTATGTAATCTGCACCTATAATGTAAATGTGTCCTCATGTTGTAACCTTGAACTTTTCTTCATGGAGTACAAAAATAGTTCTTGTAACATTATGGCAGTTAGATGTTTTACTGTTTGAAGGCATTTCCTTTTTTTAAGGAGTTTATCAGTATTTTGAGTTTATAATATCAGAGCACTCAGACCTATACTTTCTCACCAGTCCACATGTCAATACTCACTGTCCTCAGTGGATATTATTAGTACTCCTTAGTCTATCACCAGTTGTTCTCTGGGAGACATCCCTTTCTCAGCTGTAGCTTCTGATCTTCAAGTCAGAAGTTTGAGGTCACTCTACTATTGGGATGTCAGGTATGCTGATGCCCTGGAGTGAGAGCTCAGTTCAGTTGTGAAGAACTATTCAAAGTCTAAACTTCCAGTCCTTTGTGTAATTAGTGGTGATTGGGTGGGTATTACGTTTTTGGTGAATTAATGTCCTCATAGTGATTTATTTAATTCTGTAAAGTAATCCTAATAATAATCAGTGTTTAAGCCGGGCGTGGTGGCACACGCCTTTAGTTCCAGCACTTGGAAGGCAGAGGCAGGTGGATCTTTGTGAGTTCAAGGCCAGCCTGGTCTCCATAGCGAATGCAGGCTGGCTGCAGCTATAGGGAGACCCTGTCTCAAAAAAAAATCTCTGTTTAAAAATTTTATACTCTGGGCTGGAGAGGTGGCTCAGTGGTAAACAGCACATAATTGCTCTTGCAGAGGACCAAGTTTGATACCCAGTTTGCATGTCAGGTGGCTTACAATAGCTTGACTCCAATTCCAGGAGATCTGATACCCTCTTCTGGCCTCCTTGGGTACTGCACTCAGGAGGCGATTGATGTATACTGTATCTGTGTATATGCATCTACATATGCTTTCCTCCCCCATTTTTTAGATCCAGGAAAAACGGCACACTTTGGTCTCTTATTATTGCTAAGCTGATCCTTTCCCGAAGCATTTCATCTGATGAAGTAAAACCATATTATAAAAGGAAAGAAAGGTATTCTTAATTAAAATGTTTTTAGTTTGCATTTATTATAATTGCTAACTTTTGGCAATCTGCGCTTAGTGAACAGTATAATGGATCAAGAAAACAAGGTTTAGGAAGTGAGGCAATTAAAGAAAATAATGACTAAAGATGCTGAGACATTGTTTTTGGTCAATGTTTTGATTTTTTTAATGAAGCATTTATACATACCACTTAATAGAATTTTGTACTTATTTAAAAAAAAAATCAACTGTTTTTTGGTCTTTTTGAGACAAGGGCTCCCTGTAGTCCCATCTAGCCTGGAACTCACTCTGTAGACCAGGCTGGCCTTGTACTCTCAAAGATCTGCCTGCCTCTGTCTCCTGACTGCTGGGATTAAAGGCATGCGTCACTATGCCTGGCAAAATCAACATTTTATAAAGCTGTTCTTTTTTCTTCGGAAATCCTCTATAGGAACCTTTCCCCCCTTGTTCTCCCAGTGTACTTTAATCACTTTGTTTGGTATATGGAAATGGTATGTCCTCTTTTCTTAAATAATTACTACTTTTTTCTTAAATAATTTCCAATGTATGAAAATACATTTTTGAATGCAATAACTGTTAAGACAGGTAGATTGTAGGATGGGATGGAATGTGCTAATAAATTCAGCATTCAAGTTGTGGCTTGTAATAAATATTAATAAATATTTAATAGTCAACTCCCTGTAGCCCCAGCTGTCCTGGAACTCGTTGTGTAGACCAGGCTGGCCTTGAACTCACAAAGATCCGCCTGCCTCTGCCTCCCGAGTGCTGGGATTAAAGGTGCGCGCCACCACGCCTGGCTAATATTTAATAATGTTTTAATAAAAATATTTAGCAAATATTTTGATTTTACTGAGATACCAAGAAATATTCTCAAGTAATGTGTATATTATGGCACTATAGAATTGTGAACTGAACTTCAGTTTTTAAAATTTCTAAAAACTTAAAGACATTTTATTTGTGGTAACTCAATTTGCTTATGATTATAAAAAGTAATGCAAAGAATAAAAACTGTACAAAGAATAAAATGCAATAATATATATTCTCCATTTTTCCCACTGATAGCATTCTGCACAATCTGTGCTGTCTGTATGTGTGTGTGTTGCTGTTATTGAACTCAGAGCTTTGTGAATGCTAGACAAATACTCTACTATGTTATACCTTCCAGTCCAGTGCACTGGTATAATAAAAACAAAACAAACCATGAGATCTGTGGGAAAGGTTACATATGTTCATTTAAAAAATATATAGCTGGGTGTGAGGTGCATGCTTTTCATACCAGCACTCGGGAGGCAGAGGCAGAGGCAGGTGGATCTCTATGAGATCAAGGCCAGCCTGGTCTACATAGTGAGTTCCAGACCAGCTGAGGCCTCAAAAATAAATAAACTTTCACAAATCCAAAAACTAGAAATACTCAGACAAGAGAACAGCAACAAAACAAAAAATGTATTTATTTAGAGTTCATAATCATCAGTCTTATGGTTTCTTTTTTTTATAAGTATTTATGTGGTAGAGTAGTCTGAACAGAAGGAAGTTTTTGAAATAACTGTAATATAGAATAAATCATATTTTTTCTTTAAACAGTTTCTTCCCATTGACAGAAGGTAATTTACATACCATCCAAAGTCTCTGTCCATTTTTGTCAAAAGAAGAAAAGAAAGAATTCAGTGCTCAGTGTATACCTGCTTTTTTGGGCTGGACTAAAGAGGACCTTTGCAGTATCAATGGTTAGTTGCTGAATAATAAATATTTCAACTCTTTAATCATTGCTTGAGATTGAAGAGTTATTTTATTTGTTCATTTTCATGTTATGTGTATGTGTATTTTTCATCCATATATGTAAGTGCATCTGTGGGTGCAATGCCTGTGGAGGTCAGAAGAGGGTGTCAGATCCCCTGAACTGGAGGTACACATTGTTGTTAACTACCATGTGGGTGCTTGGAACTGAACCTTGGTCCTCTAGAAGAGTAACCTGTGCTCTTAACTGTTGAGCCATCTCTCCATCCCCAAAGAAGAATATCAGAATATATAAAATCAAAGGTATCAGAGATAATTGAATTACTGCTAATTTGTTTCTACTTGAGTTGCATAGCAGGTTGGTAATAGTTAGGATGAGTGTCCCTAGAAGAGTGGCTGTTACATTTTTTTTAGAACAGAAATGCTAGAGCCTTAGGGGAGGTTTGCACTACCACTACCCTCTCATTATGTATTTTCCATCTTAGCTGTTTTTTCTGGATATAGATCATATCCAGGGCCTCGTACATACTAGGCAGGTAGTCTACCAGTGGGCAGCTGTGTCCTCAGCTTTACGCCTAGAGCTTTTTAATGAAGCTGATTCTCATTTCTCCCTAGTCAACCAATTATTGAACATACAAAGGTAAAAATAATAGTTTTGTAGTAGTTGAAAATTTTTTTCACTTGTTTATTAATTTAGTAAGCATCTCTATGCAGTTTCTGTTGTGGAGAAGACAGACAAAAATAGTATTGCATCATGTTGTAACAGTACTGTTAAGGGAATGGCAGAAAGAGAGGAGCTTCCATGGCTTCCAGGTGTCAATGGCAAGCTCATAAAAAGACAAATTTCTAGTTAAATGTTGAAGGATGTAAGTGTTTGTACATGTGTGTATCAGAGAAGAGCATTCCTGCATACAGACTCATAGAAGAGTACAGATAATGCGGTTTGGCTGGCATTTAAGGTAGATGTTAGGATACCCAGAAGGTGGGTTTTGAGAAATGGTAGGGTTCCTGAGAAGGGAAGTGAGTGTCATTTGTTTTAGTCTCACTCTTGTAAGTTCTTTTTAGAAGCATTGATTTGGGCTCTGCTCAGGAAAGTTTTTGGCTTTCAAAGGAGACTTTATGTTTTATGGTAGCAGTGTAATTTAAAAATGTTCAAAATTGCTAGGTGTGGTGGCACATGCTTTTATTTCCAGACTTGGGAGGCAGAGGCAGGCGGAACTCTGAGATCAAGGCCATCCTGTTTGACATAGCTCCAGGCCAGCCAGGGCTAAAAACAAAACAAATGAAACTGTTAAAATTTTCATTTTGAATTTTCTTTAGGAGATTTTGGACATCTTGTAATGTGAATGCTTTCCAGATAGCATATGTGGTTTTTTTTTTTTTTTTTTTTTGAGTTAAATATATATAATATGTTCTATTTCTCACTTTTATTTAACTTTATACTGAAGAGCTGTGCCTTTTTTGTTGTTTTTAGAAGTACCAAAGACTCCTGTAATCAAAAACAGAGCCCGTTATCTTAAAAACCTAGTAATGCATTTCCTGTGTCCCTCCCTCCAATTTTGTATTCTTTACTAGGTGCTAGGCATGGAGACACATCTCTGCTCCAATAAGTTTATTTGTTAAGTCTTTCATATAATACCCTTTTTTTTAAGCTTTTTTAAAAATTTAATTTAATTAAAAAAATTTTATGTGTATATGTATATTGCCTATGTGTAGGTAAGTGTCATGCAATGCCTGCAGAGGTCAGAAGAGGGCATCACATTCCCTGGGACTGTAGTTACGGACAGTCGTTAGCTGCCATGTGGGTGCTGGGATTTGAACCCAGGTCTTCTGCAAGAACACCCAGTGTTCTTAACCACTGAGCCATCTCTCTAGCCCTGTCATATAATACCCCTCTGCCTTTTTTTTGGTCTTTTTGAGACAGGGTCTTCCTGTAGCCCCAGCTGTCCTAGAACCCACTATGTAGACCAGGCTGGCCTTGAACTCACAGAGATCCGCCTGCCTCTGCCTCCCAAGTGCTGGTATTACAGGCATGTGCCACCACACCCAGCTATAATACCCTTTTAATAGATGGATTTTTATTTGTTCATTGACAGAGTCTTGCTGTGTGGCCTAGACTAGCCTGGCCACCGTCACCCTCCCAACTCGACTTCTGGGGTCACAGCACATGCACCACGCCAACCTCAAGTCTTTTCAGAGTTCATAACTTATGCCCTAAGTTTTTGGCCTTTCAAAGTAGACTTGTTTTGTAGAAGCTGTTTAAAGTATATTTTCATTTTCACTTTGAATTTTACTTTAGGAGCTTTTGGACATCTTGCCATCTTTAATTCTTGTCTACAAACCAGAAGCATAGATGATGGACAGCTATTACATGGCATATTAAAAATTATAATGAGCTGGAAGAAACAGCATGAAGATGTTTTTCTTTTCAGTTGGTAGGTGCTAATTTATATTTATTTCTACCGTATATAAAATGTGGACTGAGATTACATATTTTATATTCAAAATTTTAAAAATTATTTTCATTTGTTTGAGTGTTTAGCCTGTATGCATGTAAGTGTACCGCATACATGTAATGCCGCAGAGGTATGAAGAGGGCGTTGGGGCCCCTGAAACTGGAATTAGGGATGGTTGTTAGCCAGCATGTGGATGCTGGGAATTGCATCTAGGTCCTCTGGAAGAGCAGCCAGTGCTCTTAACTGCTGAGCCATCTCTCCAGCCCTTAGAGTTAAACTTTAAGTAGATGCTTAAGTCATCATTATGCATATGATTCAAAATGATATATTTTCGAATTGAATGTGTAATTATTTAATACTACTTAATTTTGTTATTTTGGTTTTGTCTTTAATCACAGTAATCTATCAGAAGCAAGTCCAGAGGTACTTGGCATAAACATAGAAATAATTCGATTCCTTTCCCTGTTTCTGAAATACTGCTCATACCCTTTGGCAGAGAGTGAATGGGACTTCATCATGTGCTCCATGTTGGCTTGGCTGGAGGTAAATTAACCTGAAAGGTCATCACATCTGTTGGGTCTTTGTGCACACCTGTATATCATAACTATTTACTCATTCTTTTAATTGTGAATGCAGTTAGTTCTTTTGTGAAAAGTGCATTTAAAATACTTTATAGACATTCTTGTCTATAAAATACTTTATAAACATTCATGATAGTGACTTCATGAATCTAGTTACTCAGAGATCAAACCTCTAAATTGCTATTGAAATCTTCCATTAGCTTATTTTAATTTTTGCAACACAGGCTTTTAGCCTATTATGACAAGCCTTTTGGTGTTTTTGGATGTACTTAGTCCTAAAACATACTGTGCAAATATCCCACAGTATCACCACAGTAATTGGTGAGATAAGCTAATTGAGAGGTTGTGTTCTTTTTATGAACTAAAGCAAGCAGATTAATAAGCTGTGAGACAGCATAGCTATCAGAATTGAATTGTCCGAATCTCTGCTTTCCCTAATCAGTAGCTGTGAGTTAAGGTTTTAGGCTTGACCTGCTAACCCTGAGTTTCTGTATTCTAACATGACTTCAGTGTTCAACTTGAGGGCCCTCAAGGTGATTAGAAGTGTGTATTTAATGTATTGTACTTGATAAATGCTGATTTATTTTTTTCTGTACTATACAGATTTAAAGGTTCATTGCAGAATTAATTGTTCATTGATAATTGTGATTTCCTAATATTAAAGTTTGGAAGTTAAAAAAAAAAATTACCAAGCCAGGTGTGGTGGCATACACCTTTAATCCCAGCACTCAGGAAGCAGAGGCAGGTGGATCTCCGTGAGTTTGAGCCCAGCTGGGGCTACAAGGAGACCCTGTCTCAAAAATTTCAAAAAAACAGTGACAAAAAAAACCCCCAACAACAACAAAAAAGGATTTATTTGACTTAAATTCCAGGTTATAATCCATCCTTTTGGGGAAATCAAAGCAGGAATTTGTAAACACCAGAAGAGGGTGTCAGATCCCTTGGAACTGGAGTTACAGATGGTTGTTAGCTTCCATGTGGGTGATGGGAACCGAACCTGCGTTGTGTGCAAGAGCAGCCGGTGTTCTTAACCTCTGAGCCATCTTTCCAGCCCCAAGAAAGTTGTTATGAAGCAAAAATATGTTTCTCCTGAATTTCAACAACTACTACTATTTTTTAAAAAAATTTAGAATGATGAAAGGGTATCTTCTCTTTCCTGTTTATGTGTGTGGCATTCTGGTACAAGTCTACTCACCTGTTTCATTTCTGTTGCTTCCACAGACAACAAGTGAGAATCAGGCATTGTACCCTGTTCCACTTATACAGCTGTTTGCCTGTGTCAGCTTTGATTTAGCTTGTGATCTCAGTGCCTTTTTTGATTCATTATCTCCATATAACCTTGGCAACCTTCCTGTAAATCTAATCAGTGAGTGGAAAGAATTTTTTTCCAAAGGTATCCACAGTTTGCTTTTACCTCTTCTGGTGACTGCTATAGGTAAGTGAAAAGGATTATCATAATAATGATATGTATTGAAAATGACTTGTTGAAAAATTTAAAATAAGCCTGACTTTTTAGAAACATCCTGTGCTGCTGCTTTATGATACAGTTAACTGAAAATGGCATGGCATTGAGAGACCATTGTAAGTTGAATATATAGTCAACCAGGTGCAGCATGCATAGAGTAAGGGACTAGAACCTCTCTAGTCAGCAGTTGCTTTCTTTTTTCTTTTTTTGTAGTTTTAAAGATTTTTAGAGATTTTGTGCATATATATATATGTGAGTGTGAGGGGTATGTTATGTACACGTGAGTGCAAGTGTAGGAGACAGAAGAGGGCCTTCAGATCCCCTGATTTTGGAGTTACAAGCCTGTGAGCTGCCTGACGTGAGTCCTGGGAACCGAACTTGGGTCCTCCAGAAGGGCAGTTTATGCTCATAACCACTGTGAGCCATCTCTTCAGCCCCAGGTGCTTTCTTTTTTAAGTATGCAGTAAAGATGATTGTAACAGTTGAGGTTAACTGAAAATCAGATCAATTCTAGTCAGGACTTTTGAAATATTTGTGTCTAGTTTTCATTTGGTTTTATTAAGTGATGATTGATCAGTCAACTATATTACTTTCTGTTGACATGTATATATTTTTTGACTTTGTTATCAGGAGAAAAGAAAGATTTGTCTGAAACATCCTTTCAGAATGCAATGTTGAAGCCTATGTGTGAAACATTGACATACATCTCAAAGGATCAGCTGCTGAGTCACAAGCTTCCTGCAAGATTGGTTGCTGGCCAAAAAACAAGCTTGCCAGAGCAGCTGCAGACTTTGCTAAATACCCTGACCCCGCTGCTTCTCTTCAGAGCTCGGCCTGTGCAAATCGCTGCTTATCACATGCTCTACAAGTAAGAATCCTCAGCAGAATGAATATTTTAGTTCTCTGAAATCATGGTGTATATATTTAGGGGTTTTTTTGTTTTTTTTTGTTTTTTTTTTTGAGACAGGGTCTCCCAACTGACTTGGAACTCACTATGTAGACCAGGCTGGCCTTGAACTCACAGATATCTACCTACCTATGCCTCCCGAGTGCTGGGATTAAAGACATGCACCACCATGCCTGGCTTTAGTTTGTATTTTTAATCATTAAAAAAAAAATCAGATGAAAAATGAAAAAGAGACCGGATTATATATTTTAGTAACAGGGAAGATGAGTTTTTGATCTTTGAAGTTACTTTTGTCCCAGTATAATTCATATATAGATAGTCTTGGTAATAAGTGGTTATTTCAGGAAAAAAATCACTAAAGTACAAAGTTAAGTATATCTTTTTGGTCTTAAACTCAATTTAACAATGGACAATTTGATATAAAGTAAAAGTAGTCTTGTTTTCTGCTTTCCAGACTGATGCCTGAATTACCACAGTATGATCAGGATAATCTAAAGTCATACGGAGATGAAGAAGAAGAACCTGCCTTGTAAAGTTTTTTGTTTGTTTGCATCCCTTTTTCTTATTTTTAAATCGTGTGTATGTGCGCATGCCTGCTGTGGATGTGGATGTGGAGGCCAGTATAACCTCAGGTGTGGTCCCTACCCTCCACCTTGTCTAAGACAGGGCCTTTTCTCTCGTTGATTGCTGTGCATGCCAGGCCTACTGGCTCACCAGCTTCTGGGAACTCTCCTTTCTCTGCCTCCGTCTTGCTGCTGGGACTGGGATTATAGATGTGCACTACTGCATCTGACCTTACATGGGTTCTGGGTTTCCAAATTGGGTCCACACTAGTACGGCAAGCACTTTATTCACTAAGCCATCTCCCCAGCCTGCACTTTCCTTTTTATAATTTGGTTTACCAAATTATTATAATTTGCCTGATGAATTTAGACAACTGAAAAGCAGAAAAACTGAATTTAAGAGATTATAACTAATTCTACACATACACCCTTTTAAAGTTCTGTAAGATGGGGCTGGAGAGTTGGCTTGGTGATTAAGAGCATTGGCTGCTCTTGCAGAGGACCCGGGTTTAATTCCCAGCATCCACATGGTGGCTAACAAGCTCCTCTAATTCCAGTTACAGGGGAATCTGCTGCCCTCTTTTGACCTCCATGGGAATTGCACAATATGGGTGCATCTGTGTACATGAAGGCGATACATTCATACACATAAAAAAAAATAGATAAAAATAAAACAAAGCTCCGTAAGACAAATGAAATCCAAAGTTAATATTAAAATTTTTCTCTTTTAACTTCCTGAAACATATTTTATTTTGCTACTGTTCAGTAAATCTTTTGGCCACATGGTCCTTGTGGAAATGATAAATCAGTTCAAGTATCTATTGAGCCCCTATTTTGTGCAAAGAATTTAAGTGCTGAGGTTAAATACAGTGCATAGCGAATGAGCACATTGTTTTTGTTAAGGAGACAAAAATCTAGTATGAACTGCCCCATAATAGATTTTGTAGTGTGTGACAGGTGCTGAGAAAAAGAATAGATCTCGTATCAACATTGCAGCAAGACTGGGAAAAACACCCTGGGCAAAGACACAGCCACGAGTGTTCAAGGGCTGTGTGATTCAGCATTTGTCACTTAATATTCTATTCAGTATCTTCACTGGAGTGTAAGCTCTATGAGGGAAAGAAGTTTTGTCCTTCATCCCAATTTTCACAACACCTAGGATACTTCCAGGATTATAGCAAACCCACAAAGTTCTCATTTGTTCAGTAAGAGCCAAAATGAAATAAAGAAAATGAGGCCAGAACAATAGGGAGCGGGGGAAGAGATATCTTTAAAGATGGCATTATTGGACTGGGGAAATGGCCCAGTGTATAAGAGTCCTTACTACATGAGCTTAATGGCCTCAGTTTGAATCCCCAGCACCTTCATAAAAGCAATAGCCAGATGTGCCTGTCATCCCAGAATTGGGCAGTGGAGACAGGCAGGTCCCAGGAGCTTGCTGCCAGCCAGCATAGCTTAATGCTGAGTGTCAGGTTCAGTGAGAAGACCTTGTCTCTATAGAATAAGATGGAAATTGGTAGAGTGTCATCCTCTGTCTTCCCCATGCATGCTTATTTGAGCACACATATACATGCATGCACAACACTCACACCCACACACATATTCTAATGGTATTTTTAAGGATCTGGGACATCATTTATAGGAAATATAGTATACATCCAGCAAATTCTGACAGTAGGGTGAAGCATAAGTTGCAGAAAGAAATAAGCCGAAATGAACCATTTCAGAAGCTAGATAACAGTTGGAGGGCAGTGTGAGAAGTGGCGAGATTTCAGAGCAGGTATTTATAAGATGAAGTGACCTTTGCTATAGAAGAGGAAGGCTTGGTCCATGAGATGGAGATAGAGAAGATAGAAGCGCAGAAGCTTGGAAAGCACCTGGTTTATGAGCTAGGAGGAAGAAGCACAAGGGAAAAAGACCACAGAGGTAACGGAAGAGCCACCTTAGAGCTTTTTAGAGAAGAATTTGAAAGGAGGTAACTGAGTATTTCACTTTAAGGGTCACATGAAAATGTTAATGACTTAGGTTTGATTCAATAAAGAAAATAAACCTACACTTGTGAATTAATGTGAATGTTAAGTTTCCAAGTAGAGATACAGTCTGATGACTACAAGTTTGTCCTTTTGATAAATTGTGGTGATCTTTTTGACATACTTTTTAAACAAGTAGATAAAATGAACTGAAAGTGGAGGGTTAGATGACGTTCAAGGCTTGCCTTCTGCTTTCCCTTTATGGTAAAGGGTCTGGGAAGTTAGGGAAGCTTTTCTGGACTTGCTTCTCCAGTATCGTTTGGCTTCTCTGGCTTTGTGACCTTTTTTCCCCCTTAATCTGTAAAACAGAAAGCTGTGACTGTTTTCTACAAGTGGGTCAAGTGTTAGCATCTAGTGCCCCCACTTTTATAGCATGTCTTTCAGGTACTGTGCTTGTCATTAGTGAGTTAAAATTACATCTGTAAAAGGCAACATTTTTAAAGATTTTTGGAAAAATAGGGAAAGATTTTTTAATGCTTGAAGCTTTATAAGTACTTAAATTTGTTAAGTGACAAGTTGTAGGAACACTGTGCTGTTTGATCATTTATTTTTAGGTCACCCCCGGAAGCACTGATGTCTCTCCTCAGTGCTCAAGAGGACCTGCTAGAGAACGTTCTGGGTTGTATTCCCGTGGGGCAGATAGTTACCATCAAACTGCTGAGTGAGGACTTCTGCTATGTTCTGGGATACCTCCTTACTTGGAAATTAATACTTACTTTCTTCAAATCTGCTTCATCTCAGGTAAATAAATGTAAGACTTTTTATTTTTGTGTATGGTGCTATGGAGCAAGCCCACAGGACAGCTTTTGACTGTTGTGTCCCAATATGTCCTTCCTACTTTTTTGGATCAAAGGGGAAATGCCTCACATTTTGGGCTAACCCTGTCCAGCCCAGTTCAGCCACTCTGTTGTCAGGTCTACTCAGGTTGCTACTTCCTTCCTCTCCTAGTCATGCTGTCTTGGCCCAGTGCTGAGTTTGTAAATGGGACAGACTCATTTTCCTCTACCTGAAGGTAATTACTGAGTTCTTACACTCCAGGAAACAGCATTCTATTATTTAGATTTTGTACTGACATAGTAATAATACAAAAATTAAAACTGGATCTTGCTTTTTTGAAGGTCAATTTATGATTGTTACAGGGATTTCGGTTCTATCAATGAAAATTTTACCTTTTTAAAAATCAGTGTTCAGATAAAATCTTTGACAGGATACCAATATAAATGAAAGTATTGTGTCTCTGCTAGCAAAAAAACTTTAATCAAGTGAAAATATCTTAGTAATTTCCAGTTTTTCAAGAAGCCACTAGATGTCTCTGTTGCTTCACAGTTAAGAAAAAAGGTCTCACCCGGCCCTTGCCTCTCTCCCCTCTCCTTTTTTTTTATTCTCTAATTTTTCAGATAGGATCTTGTTAGTTAACCAGGCTGGGCTAGAACTGAAATGCCCTGTTCAACCCCAAGTCCTGACATCACAGGCCTACACCGCTGTGCCCAGCTTTAGCTTTTATTGCTTTAGAACGACTCACACTTTGGATCTCTGACTCTTCTTTTTTTGTTTGTTTCGAGACATGGTCTTGCTATGTAGCCTCCTGAGTGCTGGGATTGCTGGTGTACACTCTCAGACCAGCTTCAGTAACATTTTGACGGAATCAACTCTGCTTTGTTACAGTCAATTCAAAAAATACATAGTTTAAGAATTTTTTTTCTTCCAGTCTTTTTGAGAGAGGGTCTCCTTGTAATCTCAGCTGGCCTGAAACTTGCTGTGTAGACCAGGCTGGCCTCGAACTCAAAAAGATCTGCCTGCCTCTGCTTCTTGAGTGTTGGGATTAAAGGTGTATGCCACCATTATAGTTATGTTGTTGCTCATACCCATGCCTTGGTACAAATATTATTTATATATTTTGGTATTTGTATATTTTAGGGAACAATCAGACTGCAGGTAATGTTGACCTACTTGCTAAACAGAGTTTTATTTCTCTTTAAGCTTGTCACTTAAGTTTAGTACTTAAGCTACTTTTGTTTGCAGGTCATGTATTTTAAGAGTTCCCTTTGGCTTTGGATTTTGAAAATCCTTTTCCAAAAAATATTTTTATTGAATTTTTGTGCATTTCATATTATAGATCTTAATCAAATTTAGACCCTTCCCCTATCTGTGACCCCTTATTCCCCACCCCCCCATCCCCAGATTTCACGCATTCTCTTATATATATTTGGTTCTATCTGGTCAAACATTTGTACCTGGATGTCCCTCAGTGCAAGTTCATCTACTAGAGTCTAGTCAGCCTATCTAGAGTCACTCCTTTAAAGATGATGTACTCTCTTTCACCTAGCAGTAATCAGTTGCCAGTAGTTCTGGGCTAGGGTTGGGGCCTGCTGTCCATTTCCCCAGTTTTATGCTAGGTTTTTGTCTGATTGAGTCAGCATGGGGCTTGTACATGCCATCACCATTACTGTAAGTTCATATGAGCAAGTTCCCAGAGGCCTGAAAGCCTCGTTTCCTTAAGTTCATGCACCAACCCTGGCTCTTATAATCTTTCTGCAATGGTCCCTGAGCCATGGGTAGATGAGGTTTAATATAAGAGTCCTATCCAGGGACATGTACTCTGCAGTCTCTTATTCTCTAAAACTTGGCCGTTTGTGGCCTTCTGTTGTGCCTCGAACTCTGTTGTATGAGGAAGCGTTCCTTGTGAGATTAGTATTCTTTCTACCCCTGTTACAGTATGTTCCATGAACCTTAGCTGTTAAGGTTTCACAGTAGATGTGTCACATAGGGCTGGGCATCTCTCAGACATGTATTCTCTATATGTGACCAGTTGTGGAACTCTGTAATAGCCTCTATCTCTTTCAAAAAGAAGCTTCTTTGATGAGTGGTATACTGTATGTATACTTGTCTGTAAAATATAAGGATCTATATTTAGCATACAGTAAGAAATTTCTTTGTCTAGAGATACGACACTGATAGGGTTTCTTCAGGATCTGCGGCCTCTCTAGCCATGTGTATTTGGCTGTATTTATAGTGCTACCCATGAGTTTTCTCCCATTGAGTGGGCTTTAAGTCCAGTTAGATGGCTGTTGATTACCCCCTATATAAAAGTGCCACTACTGCACCAAGAGAGGTAGTTTTGCTGTGCCAGCTGTTGTGGTTATTAGACTTTGGAGCTAGGTTGGACTATTGATTGGTTTTTCTCCCTTTGTAGCTTGCATAGTATCCTTTAGAACTATGAGAGAATCTTCAGGGAGAAGTCTTCCAGATTAATTCTAGCTCCATTGCTCCAAGTCCTGTGTTGGAAGTATGCCCTGTCTTCAACAATAGGGTCTTACCTTTAAGTTCTGAGAGGTAATCAAGGGCTGTGGCAATAGCCTGTGTTATTTTGGGAATCTCTTGGACTACCCTGACCAGCAAAGGGAGGTTTCTCCTGTTTGGCAGTCATGTTCAGATATTGTTTATATATTTTTTCAGGGGATTTTTGAGTTAATACATTTCCCTCTGTTTTTTTACGACACCTAAGCATTATTTTACCCTCCCTCCCCCCTCCCTGGTTTAAGTACTCCCGTTTTCCCCTTGATAATACCTCTCTCCTATTATCCCTCCTCTCTTCTTCCCTTGAGTTCCTTCTTCTCCTTTAGCCCCATGGTTCCCTGTATGTCCTTCCCTCCTCCCTTTCCAGTTGAATGCCCCCATTTTCCCCTTGGTAACATCTGTTTCCTACTATCCCCCTCTCTTGGGCTCTTTCCTTCCCTTTACCTCCATGCTTCCTTTCCATTTTCCTGGCCCCTGTTGTTACATCAGGACATATACTCACATCTAAGGATTTGGAACTAGGATCCACAAACGAGAAAGCACATGTGTTGCTTGTTTTTCTGAGTCTATGTTAATTAGTATAACAGTTTCTAGCTCCGTCCATTTACCTGCAAATTTTGTAATTTTGTCTTTGCTTACTGTATATTTACTTTGTGTAAATATACCACATTTTCATTAGTTGTTGTGAAGAGAGCAGCAACAAACATGGATGTGCAGGTATTTCTACAGTAGGATGAGTCCTTTGGGTATATGCCAAGGAGTGGTATAACTGGATCATATGGTAGATTTATTTTTTGTTTCTTAAGAGTTCTCCACACTGCTTTCCATAGTGGTTGCACGAATTTGCATTCCCACCAGCAGTGAATGAGCATTCCTTTTTCTCCATATCCTCACCAGCATTTGGTGTCTTTTGTTCTCTTGATCGTAAGTCAGTTTTGTCTGGGGAAAGATGGAACCTTAAAGTAGTTTTGATCTGCAGTTCTCTAATTACTAAGGGTATTGAGTACTTTTAAGGTGTTTCTTAGCCATTTTTATTTCTTTGAGAACTCTGTTCAGGTCTTTAATCCATTTTTTTTTTTTAATTGGGTCATTTATTTTCTTGTTTCTTTGTTTTTTGAGTTCTTTGTATATTCTGGATATTAATCCTCTGCTGAATGTATAACAGGTGAAGATTTTCTCCCTCTCAGTGGCTTTCCTCTTCTCTTTCTTACATGTTTCTTTTGCTGTAGAAAAGCTTTTCACTTTAATGAGGTTCCACTTGTTGATTGTTGACCTTAATGCCTGAGCAACTTGTGTCCAATCCTTTTGGGCTTCTATATTTGTTCCTTAAAATATTACTAATCTCCAAAAATTGCAGCACATTGAGATACCTGTTGTTAAATATTTTGTCATCTTATAGTCATCACATTATTAAGTTCAGAAAATGAACACATGTCAGAATATTGATTTTTCCAGATAGGATCAGGGGCACAGAAAGACTGTACAGGAGCCTTTATTAGTGAGCTCGAAACTTGAACTGAGATGCGAACAAATAAGCCAGACTAACCCAGAAAATGATAGTAATTAGTTGAATTCTGAATTCAATTGGAGCATTACTTTAAAAAATATTCAATTGTTTTTAAATTGTAGATTGTCTTAACTTTCTTCTCAAAAAATACCTAGCGGATGTATGTTTTATAGATTTATTGAGAGATATATTTTACATATCATAAAGTCTGCCTATTTAAAGTATAGACCTTGGTGGTTTTTTTAATTTTTTAAAAAATAGTGTGTTTAAGTGTATTGCCTTCATGTATGCAAATGCACCCGTGTCATGCAATGCCCTCAGAGGTCAGAAGAGGGTGTCAGGTTCCCTTGGAATTGGAGTTACATGGCAGTTACTGCCATGTAGGCACTGGGAATTGAACCCAGGTCCTCTGCAAGAGCAACCAGTGCTCTTAACCACTGAGGCAACTCTCCAGCCCCTGACCTTAGTGTTTTTAGTGTAGTTGCAGGATGATGCAACTGTTGCCATTGTTAGACTTTAGCATCCCCTAATATACCTGTCTCTCTCTGTCTCTGTCTCTGTCGCTCACTTTCTTTCTCTGTCTCTCTTCTTTTTGTCTCTTTCTCTCTGTGACACACACACACACACACACTCTCACACTCACACTCACACTCACACACAGTTGCTGTCTTTGGCCTTGAGCATTCTACTCTGCAGCCCAGGCTTGAACTGGCAGTCCTCCTGTTTCCTAGAAAGTACTGCACTGTGTACAGTGTCACCTTTTGTTCTTTTGTTGGTGGACATTTAGGTTGTGGCCACTTCTGGGCTATTGTGACTCAAGCTACAGTAAGCATTCATGTGTAAGTTTCTTTTTTTGTATGAATAAGTTTTCATTTCTATGGCATCTTAAAACAAATGGGATTTCTGGATCATATTCGTATTCATGGTTTTTTTTTTTTTTTTGGCCAATTGACACAATGGATACATTAAAAAAATTCTTTTTCCTCCAACTTTTTAAAAGATTTATTTATTCTTAATTTTGTGTGTGTGTGTGTGTGTGTGTGTGTGTGTGTGTGTGTGTGAGAGAGAGAGAGAGAGAGAGAGAGAGTGTGAGTGAGTTTGTGTGAGGATACGTGAGTATGGTTGCCTTTGGAGGCCAGAAGACAGTGTAAAGCATTGACTCTCCTGGAGCTGGACTTACTGAGAGTTGTGAACTCTCCGACGCCCATGCTACGACATGCAGCCTCTGTAAGAACAGCAGTTGTTCTTAACTGCTGAGCTGTTTCTTCAGCTGGGACTTACTATCCCCAAAATGGCCTTGAATTTGTCACCATCACATGGTCTTCCAGCCCTTTTTTTTTTTTTTTTTTTTTTGTCTTTTTGAGACAGGGTCTTCCTGTAGCCCAAGCTGGCCTGGAACGCAGAAAGCTGCCTGCCTCTGTCTCTGAGCCAAGTGTTGGGATTAAAGGCATGCACTCCCAGGCCTGGCACAGAATTTGTAATCTTTCTTTGATGACACAGAGTTTCATGGAGCCCAGACTGGCCTCAGCTTCACCTAGGTAGTTGAGGATGTCCCTGAACACCTGATGGCCCTGCCTCTACCTCCCAGGTTCTGGGATTGCAGGTACATGCCACCACATCTGGATTTATGCAGTTTTGAGGCTTGAATCCAGGGCCTTCTACACGCTAGGCAAACATCTTACAAGTGAGCTGTATTCTCACCACAGGGATAGTACTTCAGTGAGAGATCTTACAACCTTCTACAGTCACAGTTTGTTTTTAACCCGTTCCTACATTTGTGATCCTTTCTCTGTATTTACTTTTAAATGTGTGGGAGGGAGGGAGGGAAGGAGGGAGGGAGGGGAGGGAGAAGGGAAGGTAGAGGAGGGAGGGAGGGACAGGGGAGAGGAGAGAAAGAATGAAAATGTGCCACAGGAGGTCGGAGAATAATTTTGTCAAGTTGATTCTCTCCTTCAACCTTTATGTGGACTCCAGGGATTGAACTCAGGTCATCAGGCTTGTGTAGCAAGCACTCTTACTTGGTGAGCCATCTTGCTGGCCTCTGTATTTACTTTTACTTTATTTATCTACTTGAAAGTAAGTCATACACATCAGGTTCCTCTGCCAAAAGCAGGTAATCATGTGACAACTAAGAACTAGTATTTGTTTCTACATTACTGTAATATAATCATTGTACTGAACAATCCTAATTTTGATGCATTTAACTAATTTGTTCACATTTTCTTAGTTTTCCTGGTAATATTCTTTATGGTTGTACTTTTTTCTCTCTTGATCATAGATCATGCTCGAAGTTTTTGTCGTATTTCTTTAGTCACTCTAGTCTGTGATTTTCCTCATTTTTTCCTTGTCTTTGTTTTGGCTGGCTGTTTTTGTAGCCTGACATCCAGAGTTTGGGTTTATCTGGTTTTCTTTTCCTAATAGTCTGGCAGTTTCTAGCAGGAGTACTTCTGCACAAGTTGTACAGTGTGCTCCCTCAGGAGGAGGCATAGAACACCTGTGCATGTGTATGGGTAAGGCTGGTAACTCAATAAAGGTGAAGGTTCTGCCCCCAATCTTGCCATTGTAAAGGTGCTTTGGTCAAAATATTTTAAGAATCAGCTCCAAGCCTTACACCTACATTCTGAGGTTATGGCACAATGGAAGAAACCATGGTAGAAGTGATACAAATGCCAAAGAACTGCAGTGTGATGGCGACAAATGCAGACTGTGCTACTGCGGGAGGAGGAGTAGCACACATGAGCACCACATAGCTTTCTAAGGTGCTCCCTCTGCGTGTACCAAATTTTGCTAGTTTTAAGAGGAATTAGATGTCCTTATTTTTATGTAGCATTTCTTGATTGAAACAACTGTGAGGCAACCTCTCAAGACGTTGTGGTCTGTTCATTTGTGTTTTCTATTCTAAAAGAATGCTGTAATGTTTAATGCAGTGTAAAATAAGTGAATCTTGGAAATGAGATTAGTTTACTCAGGAATTTGCAAGATTAAGGACTTTGGTGTGGAAGGAATGTGTGGATGATTGGGAGAGGGAGCTGGTTATCTGTGAGCAATGCTCAGTAGCTTTCTTTGGCTCAAGTAGAGAAGATGTTCTGCCTATATATCTAACAATGGGAGGAGGTACTTTGAGTGTCTGCTAGTTCGTGAGCAAGGGCAGTTGTGCATTATTCAGCACGTTTGGAAAGTAAGGCTAGGACTCTTCCATGCAACCTTTCTCTTTCCTTTTCATTCCTGGGGATTGAACACACATGTTAGGCACGTGCTCTACCACTGAACTACATCACTGTACCTCTTTCATAGAGTTTTAAGTGTTGAAACTAATGCATTTTATTGTATCATTATATAGTCTACTATAGTTTGATTTATTCTTTTGTTTAATTGAGCATACTAATATATTCTTGGCTTTCTTCCAGCTCCGGGCTCTGTATTCAATGTACCTTCGGAAAACAAAGAGTTTGAATAAATTACTCTATCACCTGTTCAGACTTATGCCAGAAAATCCAACCTATGGAGAGACAGCTATTGAGGTATCAAATAAGGACCCTAAAACCTTCTTTACTGAGGAGCTCCAACTGAGTATTAGAGGTCAGTGATAACATGTCCGAGGCCTTTTTTATGAGACTTGGCTCAGACTAAGTGGTATGAAACTTTCCTGGGGGCATGAAGGATAACCTCAAATGTGGGTCTCAGCTATATGAGGGTGCTGAAATGCAAGATTTTCCCTATTTATTTGAATAGGACAGCTAAGTGGATCTCATGGAAAAGGTAATGAAAAATTTGCTTTTTGAAGGTTAGTTCTCCATACATGAACCTTTAGTTGCTGAAACAAAGATGAGTAAAAAAACTTGTATTCTTTACCTGGAAACTCAAATGTTAGCCAAGGGGATAGACACAAACTGTATCTAGCTGCACTGTAGTATTCTAAACTCAGGAGAATTGTTAAACTGTCTTGAGGATCTGAAGATGAGCTGCATGTTGTGAATACTGAGGTGATTATTCTAGAAGTTTGACACTGAGTTGCTGCCCAGTGAGTTTTGGAGAAAGGGGCTACTTTTATAATTTAAAACAGAGGAGCCTTAATTGTTTTTCCTTTTATAAAAAATGTGTTCCATTTCATTTGCAGTCTTTCATGTGATACAGAAGGTTATTTCTAGACTTCTGTCACTTGGGGTTACCTCTGTTTTCCTTGTGGTTCAGTGTGAATGTGTGGGAGGATGCTAATAGTCTTGAGTTTGGGTTTCTTTGCTGTATTTTATTAGCTACAACACTATTATTGATCGAGGAGGCTAGCTTTCTAAGGAATGAACTAATTTTAGTCTGTTATTCTAGGTAAGAAGTACATATCACTAAGAATTTGTTTTTTCCTCAGAAACATCAACTCTTCCATATCATATCCCACACTTGGCATGCTCAGTCTATCGAATGACATTGAAGGACTTGCCTGCCATGGTCAGGCTGTGGTGGAATAGCACTGAGAAGCGTGTTTTCAATGTTGTAGATAGATTTACAAGCAAGTATGTCAGCAACGTTCTTTCTTTTCAAGAAATATCTTCTGTTCAAACAAGCACACAGCTATTTAATGGCATGACGGTTAGTATTGTCTGAACTTTTTGTAGAAAACTTGGGTATTTGTTATGTCTGTGATTGCTTATGCCATCACACATTGTAGCCTTTGATTCAGAATTTATGGAGGTTTTATCTGCCTTATTTTCTGATTATTCTGTGTCAAGACAGGCATTGTGGGCATGGAATGATAGTCATTTGACTGTTCAACAATACTTTATTGTATGACAAGCCTACAATAGTAATGCTTTTTATGAGCAAGGTATTTTTTCTAATGCAAATGGTGAATGTAATAAAATCACTATAAAGCATTCCAGGGTTGGGTTTTGTTTTTTGAGACAGGGTTTTACTATGTAGTGCTGGTTGGACTGGAACTTGCTCTGTAGACCAGGCTTGCCATGTAGATCTGCCTGCTTCTGCCTGGGATTCAAGGCATGTGCCACCATGTCTAGCATCATGCCACGGTGTTAAACCTACTTATTAAATGCCTGATGTCAGGTAAATAAATGCTTATGTTCTTTATCCTCCTATGTAGTCCTCAGCTGTTGTTAACCTATTGAAATGCTTCATTGTTTTGAATGGCAGGAAGTAATTTGGCAAAGACAAAAGGTGCTTTCTTACATTGTAGGTGAAAGCTCGTGCTACTACTCGAGAAGTCATGGCCACTTACACCATTGAGGACATAGTCATTGAGCTTATAATACAGTTGCCTTCGAATTATCCATTGGGTTCGATAACAGTGGAAAGTGGGAAAAGAATTGGGGTGGCCGTCCAGCAGTGGCGGAACTGGATGTTGCAGTTAAGCACTTACCTCACCCATCAGGTACGTTTTGTTTGCACATTTGCCTTTCCAAACTAGAGAGAGATGAATTGGAATGAGCAGCTGGGCACAAAATATATTCTCCTCTGCTTAACATGGGAATAGAAAATTCTTAGATAAACATGTATGTCTAAGTGGCTTGAACCTGCCATCTCTGTAATTTTTAAAGCTTTGTAATTCATTTGCTGGTGTTTGACGAGAGTGGACTTTATTTTTATTGATACTGCAGAATATGTAGAGCAACACATGGTATTAAAGAAATTGAAGAGTAGGGGCTGGAGAGATGGCTCAGTGGTTGAGAACATTGACTGCTCTTGCAGAGGACCTGGGTTCAGTTCCCAGCACCCACATGGTGGCTAACAGCCAACTGTATGTAACTCCAGTTCCAGGGGATCCGACGCCCTCTTCTGACTCCCCAGGGCATTGCATGATACGGGTGAACTGTATGCATGCAAGCTATATATTCATACTCATAAACAAAAATAAAAAATAGTAAAATACTTTTAAAAAAGAAATTGAGAGACTCTGAAGAGATGCTAGATTAATGAATGCTTTCTCACCACTTTTATTTCTACATTTGAATTCACCTTTGGCTGGAGAAATTCAGTACTCTGAAAGATCTTTGTTTAAGCAAATTATAAGTCTCTTCCAGTTTTGTTTGTTTGTAATACATAACAGATATTTTAGAATAAAAACTTTTAAAGCTAATATACATAACCATTATTATAAAACTCCAACACAGCATTTGAGGTAGATAATTTCATCACTATCAGTTGATAGTCACTGATCTAAGTGACTTAATTATTACAGGTTTTATTAGAGACGCTGAGTTCATAAATCTTGAAGTGTTAGGATTTCAAGCGTGTGCCACCATGCCTGGCTGGTTCTTTTTTAAAAAGAATATCTTTTACTTATTCTTTGCCAGTTTCATACATATGTAAATTGTATCTTGAACATACCCACCCCTAATTTCCCCCTCTACATCCCCATCTCATCTCCCTTCTTTGATGTCTTTTTTTCTTTTTTTGGTTTTTGCTACCCACTGAGTCCAATTAGGGCTGCTTGCTGTAATGTTGACTGGTCTTGTTGGCCTGAGTGCAACAGCCAGGTCATGTACAGAAGAAAACACTCCTTCCCTGAGCCTCAGAGGGTTGATGAAGATGTCCAGTTTAGGGCTGAGCACTCAAAGTCAACTTCTTCGCAGCCCTTGACCAGCCGAGTCTCTGCATTGCTGCCTACTGCAGAGTGAGTTCTCTGGCTGAGGCCAAGAACAGCACTTGTCTGTGGGTTTAAAATAAATATTTAGAAAGCAATTGGACAGCATATTTGTCCACTTAGCAAAACAACAGTAGTAGGTTCCTCCCCTAGGGCCTATGGCCTCTAAGCCATGACCTTTTGACCAAGTTTACAGTGCTAGGCATGAATTCCCTCCTATGGAACAGGCCTCAGATCCAATCAGAAAGTAGTTGGTTATCCCCAAAGGAGTCTTGCCATGATTGTACCAGTTAGTGGGCAAATCTTGCTTGGCAGGTCCTTATTGTAGCATACAAGGTCCAGTGCTGGGTAAGACCGTTGATGATTTTTCTTCACCAGACACCTGAAATACACCTTCTGGCACTATGAAAGCAGGGAGGAAGTTTTCAGGTTAGTTCCAGTTTGATTTCTCTATGATCTGCAGCAGTGTATTGTGTCTTCAGTAATCGGGTCTTACTGTCTAGTTCCATTGGACAACCAAGAGTAATGGCAGTAGTCTTTGCTGATTTGGGGGCCTCTGGAGTCTCCCTGAGCAGTAACTCCTATAGTGAGATAGCCCATGCATGGCACTGAGAGTTAATAACCCGTGTCTTCTGCGAGAAGCATTGTCCACCCATGTAGTGAACTGTGTTCAAACTGTTTTTTATTTAATTCTATTTTTAAATTAGCTTACAGAGTATTGGGTTTTCTTTAAGGGTTTTTTTTATATACCTTTGGCTTTAGTTAACCTATACCCCCCTTACCCCTCTTTTCCTCTGTCCTCCCTGCTTAAACCTTTAACCTCCAGTATTCATCCTAGAGTCTCGTTTTGTTTTTTTTCTAAAATCTCTCTTTAATGGAGAAAAATACGTTTCTTCCTAAAACTTGAGGTTTTTAAAAAGAAAACATTTATGAAAAATTAGGAGATAAGAATATAACCAGTCAGATTCTTTTCCTTCAGAATGATAATTCAAGTTTTAAATATATAGAATTGAATAAAAATAACATTGGCGGTCTTTCATGTACAGTGATTCTTTTTTCTCTTTATTAACAGAATGGAAGTATTATGGAAGGCTTAGCATTATGGAAAAATAATGTAGACAAACGGTTTGAAGGTGTTGAAGATTGCATGATCTGCTTCTCAGTTATTCATGGTTTCAACTATTCTCTTCCCAAAAAGGCCTGTAGAACATGCAAGAAAAAGTTCCATTCAGCTTGCTTGGTAAGCCAAAGAGAAATTACACTTTATGTGATTTGTATACATGTGATTTTAACTTTGAAAGACGGTGTATGAAGCTGGTGAGAGGGCTAAAGGGGTAAAGGCACTTGCTGCACGAGCCTGGCAACCTGCATTCAATCACTGGGACCTGTGTAAAGGTGGAAGAAGAGAACTGACTGCAGTTGTTCTCTGACCCCCACATGCATGCCACAGCATGTCTCTGGTCCACTCCCTCACATAATGCGAACACACACACACACACACACACACACATACACGCACATGCACACACACGTTAATGTGTGTTACACACAAGGATAGTTTATAGCAGACATTAAAATGAATTTTTCTGCTAGGCATGGTGATGCACGCCTTTAATCCCAGCACCTGGGAGGCAGAGGCAGGTGCATCTCTATGAGTTCAAGGCTAGACTGGTCTACATAGCGAGTTTCTGGTCAGCTGGGGCTACAGAGAGGCCCTGTCTCAAAAAGACAAAAAAAAAAAAAAAAAAATTTCAAAATCTGTAAAAGAATTCATAATTTACTGGGCTCATGCATCAAAGCACTTTAAGTGGATGCTTCTTTTAGTTAAAAATATTTTAAATTTGTTTTTATTTTATGTGTATGACTGTTTTGCCTGCATGTATATAAGTGCCCCTGTGCATGCAATGCTCACAGAGGCCAGAAGAAGGGCATCAGATCCCCTGGAACTGGAGGTATAGACAGTTGTTAGTTACCACGTGGGTGCTGGGAACCAAACCTGGGTCTTCTGGAGGAGCAGCAAGTGTGTAAGAGCTGAGCTGGCTTTCCAGCCTCATAAGTGAATACTTTAAGACCGCTCTTAGGACTCAATAATTGATGGTCTTATGGGATCTAGACCAAGAGGGAGGTTACAGGACTTGACTTGGTCCATCCAACATCAGAGCCCTTTGCTCTTTGTAAACATCACATTGAATAGTATGTTGATCTAGGTCACTTGCTTTGCAGGTCTTCCTTAACCGTAGTGGTTTTATGTATGAGTCTGGATAGAAGGGATCACAGCATCACCTTTGGAAAGATACTCAGTTGTGTTAATTTTGGAGATATATAGGATGCAGAATTCATAGTATGTTCCCATTTTAGTTTTGCCATTTAAAGGTTACTTTAGATGTATATATGTGAGATGAAAGCTTTAGAGAAGTTCTTTTAACCTTAAAATGCTTCTTTTTCAGTATAAATGGTTTACATCTAGCAACAAATCGACTTGCCCACTTTGTCGTGAGACCTTTTTCTGAGGTTTTTTCCATTAGAAGAGATCCCTGAAATAAGTCAAGCAAAGACATTGCATTGGATCCATCTTAAAGTACTGATGCGAGGAAGCCAGTAAGCATGACTTTTAAATAGAATCGTCTCTGGAACATGATTTTGGTTAATGTAGTATGATCCTCAAATCAGGTTTACCTATCTTTAGATTGCTTTGTAAATGTTTGGAAACTTTTGTCTTTTACAAAAGAACATTACATATTTGAGAGAAAATATTTATATTAATGGTTTAATCTTTGTATATTTAAAAATAAATATCTCTCTTCTGAAAAATAACCTAAATTATACAATTGAAATTTGTGAAAACATTATACTATACTATAACTTATAAACCCTTTCAGTTGTTGGTCTGTATTTTAGAATAGTTCAGGTGCAAGGCAAAATGAATTGAGAGCTGATTTATATCTTATTAGTGATGACAGCAAAATTTAATGATAAAAATGACACTAAGCTATTAATATGGCATATCTGGAGCTGTTTGACACATACTCTGAAATCTTACATGAAAGAATTTAAACTGAACTTTAAGGTGCCTCTGTCAGGATTAAGAAATTCACAAAGTTAAATTCATGACACTGGCCTTTTGCCTGAGGAAGAATTATTTCCATGTATTAATGAAATTTGAATTGTAAATTTGTCAGTGAATGTATTACTCAGTTTAAGTGAGCCTCCAGAGGGTGGAATTTGAAAGAAGTAGTAATTGATTATTTTATGTGAAGTAGAATGAGTTATCCCTCTATTAAGGGAGGAATAAATAAATATTACTTATTGGTGGAAGAACCAGTATTGAACAACATTGTAGGAGGCTATCAATTTTGTAAGCAAAGTTTGCTATTCTTCCTAGCCATAGTTAAGCCACATTAGAGATCTGGGGATGCTAATTATTTTCAACCATCAGAAATGAAAGTTAAGGATTTTAGTACTAAGTAAAATTAAGTCTAACAAAACAACCTGAAGTATAAACTGGTGAAATATTGCCTTTAGCCACAGTACTATTACCCTTAGAAATTGTATCCAGAGTACAAAAGTGTGGAAGTTTGAATCATATAATTTTATTACAGTCTTCCATTTCATATATTGTAGTTAGAATATTTAAGGGGGTCAGTTAATCATCTCTGTTGCAAATGTTTAATTGGTAAACAGCAACTCATGCTAAATAAAATTACTGCTCACCATCAACTGGGTAATACGACTATTATTGAAACAGTATGAATGTGGTCAGAGGACTGCAATCAGAGCGAAGTACTGTGTGGGGTCATATCTCTTGAGTTGCATTTGTAGATACAGCATTCTGTTTAGTTTTGTCTCCAAAACTTTTCTGTGTAATATTACCTTACAGCCTTGAGGCTCAAAGAGACAGTGAGTAAAGTGTAGACAGTAAAATTTTACTACCTCTTCTTAACCTTCTTAAAATATTGTCTTACGCCTATCTCTCACATAGAAATCTCAAGGGATTATGTTATGACCCTGTGAAAATTGCACTTCAATAATGGCTTTATAATCAATTTTGTTTATAACCTTTCCAGTATTGGTTCTTCTTGGCTTCGGATCCAGGCCCGAGTAGAAGAAAAGGCAAAGCAGCAGGGCACTGGTTCCCGCTGTGCTAGGGCGTCAGGCTCTTGATGAAACTACTCTTCATACGTAGAACTCTTAGTACATTTCCTTAAGACTTGTATGTATAATTGTAAAGCTTGTTACTGTTTATAGGCTTAAGAAAAAGCTTTCCAAAGTAAGACTTGAAATTCAGAATACCACAGTAAAGTTTTACTTATTTAGCTTTGACAACACTAAGAAAAAGGATACTAGCCCTTACAATTTTAACATAAAGCAATCTTAACTGCATGAGAGTCAAAGACCATTACAAAATTATTTAAAACCCCAAAGTAAATTGCAATTTTTAAAATTTGTTTTTGATTCTTAATGTATCTCATGCTCTAATGTATGTATATACTTTTCTGTGGCTTAAATAATGTTAATACTTGATAACATTTTTGTGGTGTGAATAATTGTTATTTGTTATACCATATGTGCCCATTAAATTTCTTTTTAATTATAAAATATTTCCAATATACAGAGAATGTTACTATAAATTCCCCTGTATTCTTCCCGTACTATTTTGCCACATTTGCTTCTGGTTTTTAGAGAAATAAAATGCCACTCTTTTGTACTCCTCTCTGGTGCCGTTCTCCTCCTTCCTCCCCAGAGCCATCTTACAGCTCTCAAGTTTGTGGACTTCCTTCCTACTTGACATTTTCCTACTTCCTGCTACATGTTTATATCCATAAACGATATGTAGCATTTTTCACTTTTCAAAGACTTGAGTGTGCCATCCTGCTGTGCAATCCTTGTAACTTGCTTTTCTGTTTACCTCTGTTTAGTATACTTGGCAGTCCACCTAATAATCACTTGTTATTTTGCCATTTTGGAGAAATGCTGCAGGTGTATTAATTAGCATTCTTCCTCACCAAATGTGGTAGGCATTCTGGAGGGTGGGTGTCAACAGTGGAATTTCAGGTATTGGGATATGTACACTGTTATTCTACATGATGTCAGATTGCTCTTGAAAGTAGTGTACAAGTAAGTGTGCACTCCTACCAGTACAGTGACAGAATTCTGCATTTCCTGCCTTGTCACTCATGCTTAGTTTCAACGGAATTCTTCAGTTTCTAGTTGGAGAGCTGTGGGCTAGGCAAGTATTGTAGGGCTGAGCTACATCTTCTGTCCTTTATAATTTATATTTTCCTAACTTCTGACAGACCTAGTTTTGTTGATGCTTACTAGTAATTATTTTACAAACGTGCTGTCAATAATCTGTGCTTGTTTTTCTACCCAATTACCTATATTTTTACGTGGGTCACATAATGCTTAACCTGTTAGCCAGTCACCTATGTACTTTGTCCTCAACATGGTGTGTGACTTTAATTTTGTAGAAGTTTTCCACGTAATTAAAGTGATCATTCTTTTCCTTTATGATTGGGCCCTTTTTTGTATTAACGTTAAAAAATTACAAAAAAAAATTTATGTCTCAGTGTTAGTGTTATGCCTGCATGTATGTAAGTGCACCCATGTCATGCAATGCCCACAGAGGTCAGAAGAGGGCATCAGATCCCCTGGAACTAGAGTTATGGAGAGTTGTGTTAACCCCTGTTAGCTGCTTGAATTAACATTTTAAAACTTTGCTTTTTCCAGGTTGCTCTTCTAGCCTTGCCAAATTTTAACTTAAAGGTTTTATAACCTGGTTGTTCTCAGCCCTGTTCCCCACCCACCCCCCAAGTTGGAGGTAAAAATGGTGTGTATCTGTGATGGAATCCTTGAACTTCTGTATAGATTTATTCATTTTACAAAAATTCCTTGCAGGGGCTGGTGATACGATTTAGTAGATAAAAGCACTAACTGCTCTTGCAGAGGACCAGGATTCAGTTCCCGGCACCCACATGGCAGCTAACAGTTGTCCATAACTCCAGTTCCAAGGGATCTGATGCCCTCTTCTGACCTCCAGGGGCACCACACAATACAGGTGAACTTATACACATGCAGGCAATACACTCATAACACATAAAATAAAAATAAAATATTAAAGAAAAATTCTTGCAAAGGATCTTGTTCAGTTAGGATGTTTATTATGAGAATCTATTTCTGGTAGATTTAATAATCTTTTTTATTGTGAAATTTATTAGCATACGCACTTCTTTGAGCAACACCCAGGCATGATATAATTTGTGTCTTTGATGCCCAAACTTGATAGGGGTACTTAAGGAGGTTAAGAAACAAGGTAGTTTCCATGGCATTCTAAATTCATATGCTATTAAAAAAACATAACATCAGTTTTTAAAATTATAAAATAGCATACAAAGAAATGGGCTTCATTATGGCATTTTCTTTTTTTTTTTCTGTCTTTTTGAGACAGGGTCTCCCTGTAGCCCCAGCTGGCTGGCCTGGAACTCACTTTGTAGAGCCGACTGGCCTTGAACTCACAGAGATCTGCCTGTCTCTGCCTTTCCTCCTGAGTACTGAGTAAAGGTATGCTCCTCCATGCCCAGCTAATGGCATTTTCATAAATAGGTGTCATTGTACTTTGCTCTAATTCATCTCCTTCCTCAGCATCAGTTGGAAGACAAGGATAATGCTTTTTTCTGTAACAAGTAGACATCTTTGAATAGAGCGCTCCTTTTTGTTTTCCAGTTTGATAAACAGAATTTATACAAAAGAAGACATGCTAATGTCTGTAACAAAAAAACTAGGATTTCCCGAGAAGTTCTATCCTCTAATGCAGCATGCATTTAGCTAGGCCTATACATGTTGTCCACACAGGATCTGAGGCAAGGAGAAACTAATGGAAACAACCAGTGTTCATACTGATTGTTGTGTTGTAATAACGGGTTTTGTCTCATGTAGAAGGTTTGTTTTGTCTGCTGACAGTGAAACTCTCTTGACTAGAGTGTTAGGTTGCAGGCAAGGTAGTAAAACTCTCCATGCTTTACATTTCTTGACACTTCAGTGTCTTATAGGCTGGAAATGGATGTTCTTGGTGAACATCAGAGAGGTCTCTCCTGTCACTTGCTCCTTCCACACTCTTCACTGGTCTAGTGAGATTGTGGTGTGAGCTTCACTTGGGTAGTGTGGTCCAGCAAAGCCAGTGGTGCCTGAAGGGCGGTGCAGATAGGGATTCCTCACAGGGTCTCTGGCAGGCCCTTGTGGGCGAATCACATTGTAGTCCTTTTGGATTCTGGGGGCAAAACCCTGCTATTAACTACAGTTGCTCCTGTTTTGAGTAACAGTTCTTGGCCCGACATTACATCTTGGCAGATCCTGAGTACTTAACAATTAGTCATTAAGTTATCCTGACTCTCCCCCACCATGAACTAAACTAGGTTTTTGTGTTTTTTTTCCTTTTGGTCTTTTTGGGACAGCGTCTCCCTGTAGCCCCAGCTGTCCTGGAACTATGTAGACCAGGCTGGCCTTGAACTCACAGAGATCTGCCACGTGTGCCACCATGCCTGGCTTAAACTAGGTATTTTTAAAAACTTTTTTTATGTGAATGTTTTACCTGTATGTATATTAGTGCACCTCTTGTGTGCAGAGACCGTAAGAGGGCTTCTGATCCCCTGGAAATGGAGTTATGGGCTGTTAGCTGCCATGTGGGTGCTGGGAATCAAATCTGGATCCTCTGGAGCAGCAGCAAGTACTTCAGAGATGAACCATCTCTCCAGCCCCTGAGTGGTTTTTTTTTTTTTTAATTTGTTGAAAATTTAATACAGGTATGTAATGTACCTTGATCATACCAACCCTCCAACTCTCCCCAGAACCTCCCCATCATATCTCCCTCCCAACTTCATGTCCTTTATTTAACCAGTTAGTGCTGCCCATATGTGCACAGGTATGCTGTCAGTCACTGAGGCTTGGGGAACCTGCCAGTGGCCACGCCCCTAAACGTCCCTCCCCCTGCAGTCATCAGTCAGCTCTCAGCCTGGGGTGGAGCCTCAGGAGCCTTCCCCCCTCTCTAATTTTTTTCCATATAGTTCTGCAGTGTCAGCAGTCTTTAATAAAGTATAAAGATAAAATAAAAATGAGAAAGCTAATAAAAACTACTATAATTACCACTAGCTCCTTCGCTCTGGGTGGGACATTGGGAGCCCCTCCTCCCTCCTGGAATGTTTAACAGGCTTGATCTTGAACGTACAGAACCACAGCTGCTGTGTGTTCATGTGTGCAACAGCATGTTGCATTCAAGGGGGTGTTGATAGAGATGTCCCATCTGTGGCTGAGCACTCAGTTACTTCAAAGCACTTTAAGCAGTAGGAGTCTGATTAACCACTACACCTACAGTAATTGTCTCTGTCCAAGGCTAAGAAGTCACAAATCCACACGGGAATGTTTAACTGGCTTGATCTTGTGCATACATCTGCTGTGAATTCATGTGTGCAAGAGCCATGTCCAGAGAACAGCATTTTGTAGCTCTCTATCTTCAGACTTTTACATTCTTTCCATCCCTCTTCTGTGCTACAAACTGCATTTTATCTGACTTACTAACCCCCAAAGTTGCTGTGCACAGCACAGCCTATCAGAGGGAAACAGCATACACAATTGGGCCTAACAGGTCCAGCTTTAGAGCCTTCTCTTGTTCTGGCCTGACTCAAAACCAACAGCTTTTTAGGTCATTGGTAAACAAATTGTGAGTCTCAAAATACCAGAGTGCTACATCTCTTTCTTGGGTATAGAAGTAGTTAACACAGAACTAATCCTTCCCCTTAGAAGGTGTATTTCACTGTGCTCCACACGAGACCCCACTAGTTTCAGTGAGATTCAAGAAACCTAAATTTTAGTAAGATTTACTACAGTGGTACATGCAAACATCAGTAATATGTTTAAGAGAAGTTGCTATTTTTGCTTTATTGAGTCAATCAATATAATGCCATCAGTGAACAGATGAGTGTAGTATCTTACAGAGAGGGAGGGTAGTTGTCCTAGTTTGTTTCTCCATTGCTGTGACAAAACACTTTGACCAGTACCAACTTGGGGAGGAAAGGGTTTATTTGTCTTACATCTCCCAGGTCACAGTTCATCAGGGCAAGAACTTGGAAGCAGGAGCTGGAGCACAGGCCACTAAGGAATGCTGCTTACTGGCTTGCTCCTCTGGCCCCTGCTCAGCTTGCTTTCTTATGCAACCAGGTCCACCTGGCCACGGGGGGGACCACCCACAGTGGGCTGGGCCCTCCCACATCACTCAACAAGTCAAGAAGATGCCCCACAGACATGGCCACAGGCCAGTCCTACAGAGGTAATTCCCCAATTGAGGCTCCCTCAAGCCAGGTGTGTCAAGTTGACATCAGGCCTATGGAGGCAATTCCTCAGTTGAGGCTCCCTCAACCCAGGTGTGTCAAGTTGACACTATCACTATCCAGCACAGTGGTCAAGATCTTACAAAGTAATCATCTGAGGTTACCTTTGTACCCAACGGAGGACATTGAGGTGTACTGCTGGACTTCTCTGATGAAATCAATGGCCTCTGGTGGGGCTTTATGAATGAGAATGGAGAAAAAGCCATCTGCCTGATCAATACTTCTGTAGTGGGCACTGAGCGATACTGATTTGCTCAAAATGAAACAACTGGTATACTGTCTGCAGTTAAAGTTGCCACCACAGTGAGTTCATGATAACCCACTGTCATTCTTAAATATCATTGTGCAAAATAAATGTCACCGCAAAAGAGTAAAGTTCTTGCTGTTGCTGTTTATCTTCTCAGACTTTCACAGACACATAAATATACGGGCTCAGTAGGTTTTTCTCTTTGCTGCTTCCTCTTTTCACTCAGTAGTAAGCAGTAGCAAAGGGCTGCTGGCTCAGGAGATACAGACCCAGCCCATTTCATGACATGTTCAGTGACATGGACAGACCACTGTAGTATAACCAATTTCCTTTCTGATAGGCATTTAGGGTGATTCTATTGCTTTGCTAGTATAACTAATGTTGAATCAAGCGTCCTCTCATATAAATATAAAATGCAAATCATAAATGTACACATTTACTTGCACATGTATAAATATCTGTAGGCCTAATTCCCTGAAAAGGAAATGCCCCATCCTTCCACTTTTTCTTTACCACAGATTTCTGAGAAAATGTCTTAGCCAAGGAATGAACTGAGCGTCTTCAGTTCCTGCAGCTCTTGCACACTTCAGTAGCTCTCAGTGTGCTCGGGCTTAGTAAACTTGAGGACTGAAAGGATTTCTTGGCCCGCTTGCCTGGAGAGTGCAGTGGTCCCTTGCAGACCTTTTGTCTTCAATGTTTTCAAAATCTCCTCTAAAATGGAAATTAAAAGATAAAATCCAATTTGGTGATGTGCATGATCACTAAACAGTTTAAGATGATAAACAGACACTACCGGCCATTCATATGGTAAAACGTATACAAGGAAATGGCATTAACACAAACTTGGGCCTCAGAGAAATAGGACACTTTATACTTTTTTTTTTGTCTTTGGGTCTTTTTGAGACAGGATCTCCTTGTAGCCCCAGCTGGCCTGGAACTTGCTATGTAGACCAGGCTGGCCTTGAATGCACAGAGATCCACCCGCCTCTGCTGTCTGAACGCTGGGACTAAAGGGGAGCGCCACCATGCCTGGCTCACTTTGTACTTTTAAGGTATTCTGAGGACTCTAATCAAAGAGCCTGCTTGATAGTGGTACCTGCTTCAGATCAAGTGGAAACATTAAACTTATTACTACCATAAAATGATCAAGTTTTTCATTGCTTAGTGTCAATCTCAGCCATATGCCCTTTTTGGAAAAGGTCAGTGAAGATATGGACAAACTGAACATGACAGTGCTCAAAGACATAAACTCATTTACACTCTCTTGGCACTGAGTTTACTTCTTTCAGGCATGCTGAAAATAAACATAACTTTTCCTACATAAATAAAAAAACTAAAAAGATTGAACTAAGAATGAAGTTAGCAAAAAAAAATTTAGTGATCGTGATGGGAGTGGATGGGCTAGGGATATCAGATGAATATCAAACAAGGTATATAGAAAAAGAGAAAATAGATTATGGTCAACTTAGTTATAATCTGAAAACTAAGAAAAACATTCATACAGTGGTAACATAGCTTTCATAGAAATCTGCAGATGAACTAGGATGGGAGAGTTGTTAAAGGCATGAAGACCAGAGGGTAAAGAAAAAGAATTCATCATATTGAGAGTGAAGGGTTAGAAGAAATCAGAGTTTATATTTAAATACTAGCTTATGAATGAGGGAAAACTGCCTCTCCCCAATTTAAAACACGAAAACTTTTATGTTGTCTTTCTTATATTTCAACATGAACTTTTGTCTGCATTAGCTGTTGTGATCAAATTCTTCAACATTCCCCATATTACATAAGTGATAGCCTGCTACATTATTGCCAACAAAGAAAACAGTTAACAGGCTGCTCTAGGTTACCTGGGTTGTTTTCTCTTATGGTAACTAAGTAGAACAGTCCTCTTGGGGAAAGCAGTTCTGAAGCTAATGGGAAGAATCTGTCCATGACTTCCCGACCGTCTCTGCCACCAGCCCATGCAGCTTCTATTCCACGACTTCCTACCTGTCATCAATTAGACTCTTTACTTTTGACTCAAGTTTTGTTGAAATCACAAACTGAATCTTTTTGATATGCTACATCACTAAACAAGTACAGATTTTCTTTTTTTTGAGACAGGGTCTCCCTGTAGCCCCAGCTGGCCTGGAACTCACTATGTAGACCAGGCTGGCCTTGAACTCACAGAGATCCATCTGCCTCTACCTCCTGAGTGCTGGGACTAAAGAGTTGTGCCACTATGCCCGGCACAAGTACAGATTTTCAAATGAGTGTATCTTCTCAGCTTCTGGAACATCTTGCTGCCAAGCTCCTGAAATGCTTATACTACAGGGGAGCATATAATTATACAGTGAATAAAAGACACAGTGCTGGGAGGGGTGCCGCATACTGCAATCTCAGCACTTGTGGAGCTTGAGGTGTGAAGATTATTGATTTCAAGGCCAGACTAGGCTGTACAGCAAGTTCAAGGCTACATAGCGAAACTCTCAAAAAACCAAGGGACCAAATGATACAGTTGAACGGTAGCGTTCTTTGGTTTTGGTATGCATGAGGTCCTGGTTCAGTCCTCAGCACTCTAAGAATATTTTGAACATATCAATGAAAAGTACTTCAACATGGACAAAACTTTTTTCTTCCAACTTCCCACTTCCCCATATGCAATCATACTTTGTTTTTATTCACTTAACATGGTATACATTTCCCCATTTAAAATAATTCCTTTATAAATACACACACACACACACACACACACATTTTTGACCAGGCTTGCCTTGATCTCACAGGAATCAACCTGCCTCCCATGGGCTGGGATGTGCCCAGCTCACACACGTAATTTTATAAAGAAGAAAAATATGTATATCTGCTTATCGTTCTCATCAATAACTGCATCCTGCTTTTCTCATCTCAGTGAGAGAGATGCTGTGTGTATGTGTGTGTGTGTGTGTGTGTGTGTGTGTGTGTGTGTAGGTATGTGTGTTTAGGTCAGGACAACCTTGGGTGTAGGTCCACATTTTTGGAGATGGAGTTACTGTTGTTCATTGATGCTTATGCCAGGCTAGCTGGCTTGTGAGTTTCTTGGAATTTTCCTGTCTCTACTTTGCTTCATGCTATAGGTACACTGGGATTATAGATGTGTGCTATTGCATAGGCTTTTCATGGGTTCTAGGGTTCCCAACTCTGGTCCTCATGGATGTATGAAAAACACTTTATCCATTGACCCATCTACTCAGTTCCATTACTCAACATCTTATGGACATTTCTTCCATATTTTCTGTTACAGTTCTAATTAACTTTTTATGGCTGTATAGTGCTTTATTGTAGGACCATATATTTAGCCGGTGTTTGGCATTCACTGTGTCTATTTGCTTAATTTTCTTTTAATGTAATTCTGATTATTCCCAGATGTAGCATCCACTGTTTAATCTTTCATAAAGTTAATCATATTAAAAAATCCACTAGTTCCTATTTTTTACCAAAACTTTACTTCTGTAGACTTCCTTTCCTTCTTCCTTTCCTTCTGCAGACTCAGGGACCCTCATCTTCCTCTTTCTTTGTTTACTCTGTTATTTTTGTAGGAACCTGTTCTCTGGGTATTTCAGCAGGTATGATGGTTTGGGCTAGCCTCTGCCAGGCCTCTCTAAATACTGCTCCAAAATGGGGTAGGAATTCTGTGGTATGGCTCCAGGACTGCTGAACCGCATTTATCCACTTACACCTGAGATGAGGCTCCAGGAAGGCCAGACCCCAGCCAAACTGTCAGGCCAAAGGAATCGTCTCAGAGGGGAGCAGGCGTACTTTGGTGGCCTTGTTTGCTTGCCACCTGTGCCATCTGACAGGTCCACTCCTGGTGCTTCAGAGGCCACACGCACAACCCACATCACTTTATTTTATGCTTCTGAACGTGATGCTAAGTATAACCATGTCTTTTTTTTTTTTTTTTTTTTTTTTTGCTGGGACTTGAACCTTGTTCATGCAGAGCAAGAGCTCTTAACACCAAGCTGTGTGCCTAGCCCTCTTTTTGCTTTTTAAGATACACTTTCATCAAGTTACCCAGGCTGGCCTTGAACTTGCAATCCTCTAGCTCCAGTATCCTGAGTAGCTGAGATTACGGGCTTGTATCACCTGTAAATTTCTTTTTGTTTTTTTTTTTGGCTTTTTGAGACAGGGTCTCTTTGTAGCCCGAGCTGTCCCAGAACTCACTATGTAGACCAGGCAGGCCTCGAACTCACAAAGATCCACCTGCCTTTGCCTTCAAAGTGCTGGGATTAAAGGCGTGCGCCACCACGCCCAGCCTCCTGTAGATTTCTTAATTTGTTTTGGTCTTTTGGAGGCAGGGTCTCCCTGTAGTCCCAGCTGTCCTAGAACTCACAGAGATCTGCCTACCTCTGCCTCCTGAGTGCTGGAATTAAAGGCTTGTGCCATCACGCCCAGCTCAAAAAAATTCTTTTAATGATTTATGTATTTTTGTTTATACAAATGTTTTGATGGCCAAAGACCATGTGGGCGCTAGGAATCGAACCCAGGTCCTCTGGAAGAACAGCATGTGCTCTGTTAATCCCTGAACTACCTCTCCAGCCTCCCACCCCAATTTTTTACTACATTTATTTACTCTGTTTGGGGGGCAGATGTGTGGGCATGCGTGTGTGGCACCACATGCATGTGGAGGTCAGAGGACAAATTTGTGGTGTCGGTTCTGACCTTTCACTGTGATGGTACTCAGGTTGCCAGGCTTGGGCTTTACCTGCTGAATCATATCCCCAGTCCTGTTACTGCCCTTTCTGATATCTTTTTAAAAATAACTTCTGTTGGGGCTGGAGAGATGGCTCAGTGGTTAACACTGGCTGTTCTTACAGTTCGAATCCCAGCACCCACATGGCAGCTAACAACTCTCTGAAACTCCAGTCCTGAAACAGCTTCTTCTGTCCTTGGGTATTGTAGACACAGGGTGCACTTACCTACATGCATGCAGGCAATACATGCATACACATAAAATAAAAATAATAAAATTTAAAAAATAATAAATATTTTTTA